TTTCAACTTAACTTTTGAATTAAATTAAAGCTAATGTAATATATTTTATTATGGAAAATTTTCAGACTTTATTTTGTATTCACGGCGAAAGCAGACCTCAAAGTTAATAAAAAAAATTCGAATTTTGTAAAAAATTTTCATATAAATTATGAAAAAAACCCAGCACAGTGAGGTCTCGGATAGTGTTTAATTTTAAAAAATTGGTAGATTATTCCAAAAGCTACATGATTTCCTTATTTATATCTTGATTCCAAGTTTAATGATTTATAAATGTAATATATAAATATATAAATGGAAATGGTTTCATTTAAAAAAAAGTGTGTAACATAAAAGAAGAATATAAATAGTACTCATCATAAAAAAATTATATTGAACCATACATGTTTCAAAAAGTTAAATAGCATTATAAAGTTAAAAAACCAAACCTCCAAAAAAATTACAAATTTAAAAATCGCTAATTTTTTTAAATTTTTAAATTTTTTTTACTTAAAACTGCCATAACTTTTTCAAAAATGAACAAATCAATATAATTTTTTTTTATAGATTCATGATGGCTTTACCTTTCATTTGGTATATTTTAGCTTCGATGCGAAGCTGAGAAGGTATTAATTTTACTATGATGTGTTTTTTTATTTTTTTTTTTTTGTGTCTGTGAACGCTCAATCTCAGCTCTCACCGAACCCATTTTGATGAAAACTATGTCCAAATATCACAAATCGTATCTAGTTGAAGACATTACCCTCAAAATTTGAAAAAAATCCCTCGTTCCCCGTAAACGAGGGAAATCCCCCAAAAAATTACAAATTAAAAAATCGTTAATTTTCGATATTTTTTCAATTTTTTTAACTTAAAATTGCCATAACTTTTTTAAAAATTACCGAATCAATATAATTTTTTTTTTTATAGATACCTTAGGTATTCACCTATCATTTTATATATTTTTGTTAACATTTGACCCTTGACAAGCCCAAAGGAAGGGTTTCAAAATGGTAACTTTTTTACAAAAAATTAACTTTTTCAACTTAACTTTTGAAAATGTTCCGGAAAGACTGACAATTTTATATATACCTTAAATTAAATGTAATATACTTTAATTTGAAAAAAAAAATTTGACCTCTGGACTAGTCTTCATGATGAAAATGACTACCGTATGTAAAAATATGCTATTTTTTTGAAAAAATTCTTGATCTTATATTTTACATTTTTTAGCATTATGAAGCTATAACTTTTTAAAAAATGCATGAATCAATTCTTTTTTTTAATAATAAATACTTCATATATACCTCTTTCATTCGACATACTTTTTTTTTTTAATCGGACCTTTTCCCTTTATATAGGATCTTCTCTAGTTAAATTTGATTTTTCTGCATATGGTAAATATAAAGCGTCTTCGTCAGATATTTCAATTTTGTGACGCAATTTATACAATATTTTTAATAAATCACTCCATGATGACTCACTTGGGCTAATTGTTAAAAATATAGTAGGGTGACCTAACTGTCTTATCATCGCAAAATAATTTTTCCTTACAGTGGCTAAATGTGATGGTGAATTCTGTATATTGTGTAATAAACGGTAGCCTTGATCACCATCAATCATTCTCGTTAGATTTTCAGTATTTGCAACGTCATTAGCTCTTAAATTTTACTTTTTATTTTTTCGCATAATTATTTGTACATTACTTGAAATTTGTTTGTGTACTAAAACTTTACATTTGAAAAATAAATTTGGGGTGTCTGCTGCAAAACGCCTATCTGAATTCAAAAGTTCTGATCTAATTACCTTGGAGTATTTTTTTAACGGATCTTTAAGTTTTCTTGGTTGGCCACCAAACAAATTAGGAAACGCTTTTTCTTCGGCATGGTCATCAATTAAGATGGATAAGGGTCTCATACCTTCACCCGGAGCAAAAGACACATAGTCACCATTTTCAACCATAGTGTCTATAGTTCTTGGGTTGACTAGTTCATCATTGTCACTCTTATCGGACTCTTCACTAACTAACAAGTCTGTCTCCTCTGTTATTGCCTGAATATAATTTGTAACATGGCTATACGATTCTTCGTCAATTTTTACGCCTTTATACAAAGGTTCGTGTCTTAGATCCATCAAAACCCTCACAACTAACATATGGCGAACATTTTGGTACAAATAATGCTGCTTAAAACAAGATTTTCTCTTTAATTTGACTTTCATAATTTTAATAGTAGCCAAATTTTCTGCTCTCCGTGGTAGAATATTTGTTGTTCTTGTCAAATCAATTGGTACGTTTACTACGCTGCTTTGAATTTTCAATTGACCTTCTCCGCGAAGACATTTGAATACTTTCATAAATGGTAATCGCAGTGATACTTTCTATTTGTTTAAGCTCCTTAACTGACTGTGGAACATGATTTAATTGAAAACCATTTCCAACATACAATGGTGGAATTTAAATTTATTTAAATGACCATAACAACTTGTGCATACTAGTACACTTTTGCTATCATTGTAATCAATGTTAATACTAAGTTGTCTTAATAATTTTTTTGAAGTTTTGATTATGCTACTTGGTAATCTTAAACGGCTACAAGAAACACAAGTTTCAGACAAACCTTGCGTTTTTTTAAAAATATATTCTGACAGTAAAGTTTCCACTTTTGCCGTTTTGTATTTAATTTTTCCTTTTCACGCAACCTGTAGGAAGATACATGATAAAAACATTTTCTACGATTTGACCCTGTGCTGCTATTTGAAGAAGCTCTTCTTTTAACATTCGAATTTGATTTGCTCTTTGATAGGCCCTTCTTATATCAGGATTTTCTTATTTATTTTTCATATTAATTTTAGCAGCTTCTATATTAGCTTTTTTTATAGCTGGAACATTCTTTATACATTTTTTATATACTGACCATTTATTGGTTTTGTTGATTCGTATTTTAAGTTTTCTACAAATATCATCGATTATATCTGAATTAAATATTCAAAAATTTGACATAGAGTAGTTCGATTTTTCTAGAATTTCCATTATTTTAGAACTTCTACATCTATTATTTATTGACAAACTATTGTCTGTTTCAATCACAGGAACCATATCATTTTTTAAGATTTTCCTTAGACATGAATTTTTATAGTTAATATAGTACACAATTCGTTTTTTTAATTTTAAGTCATTTTGTTTTTTATAGATTTTTTCACAAATATTGATTACACAATTATGTTTAATTGTTACCTTGGAATAATCTAATTTGGGATATTCAAAACGAATATACTCAGCAACTTCATTGATTTTATGAAAACTCATTTTTATTTGTTGATGTAAAGATTATTTAAACTTTTAAAAATAACGTTAACAACTTTTGTATAACTATTCTACAACTTAAATCACAGAACTATACTCTTAAAGGTAGACGTAAACTACTTTTGTATAACTGTTTGACCACTTAAATGTCAGAACTGTCTTGAGTGACTGTGAACAACTTAATACTAATGAGCAGAATAAGGGGAAGAAAATAAAGGATGAATTTAAGGATTGTTTTTCAAAGGATGTGAAAAAAAAATTCATGTGTTAAACTTAATTATATTTTGACTTTTGTTGGGAGCATGTGAAGGTATTAATTTTGCTATAACTATTTTAAATTAAGTTTGGAAATGTATTATTTTGCTCTTGGAATACTATACAGAATGATTTTTTAACTACATCTCACTAAATGTTTTTGAAAATATGAGAATTAATTCTTTGTCCCGAGATCTTATCTTCTATGTGCAAATGGCTGTCGAAAATTTTAAAAAAAATGTAATGTTTGCGATAAAAATTACATTTTATCGGGATGTTTTTTGTACTTAAAACTGCCATAACTTTTTCAAAAATGAACAAATAAAAATAATATTTTTTTGTATTGAAACCTTAGATATTTCCCTTTCATTTGATATAATTTTTTTTGAAAATCTAACACTTATTCTGCTCACTGGGAGGATTTAAAATAGTAACTTTTTTACAAAAATATAGTTTAAAAAAACTAAAAAACACGCTTTTAAAGCACATCAAACTAAAAAGTTAAAAATAATTTTTAAAATAAACTTAAAACAATAATGAACGAAAAATACTAGTATTATTGTGAAAAAAAGCGTCAGGCGCTTAATATACAAAAAATTTGGCACAAAGCACCCACGCTTTTTTTCACAATAATACTAGTATTTTTCGTTCATTATTGTTTTAAGTTTATTTTAAAAATTATTTTTAACTTTTTAGTTTGATGTGCTTTAAAAGCGTGTTTTTTAGTTTTTTTTAAACTATATTTATTTTTCACTTTTTAGTTTCATGTTATGATAGTAGTTAATATCAATATCATGGCTGTAACGGGTAAAGGGGAATCAGGGTTCGATTCCGGAGAGGAAGTCTGAGAAACGGCTACCACATCCAAGGAAAGCAGCAGGCGCGCAACGTGGAGGTAGTGACGAAAAATGACGATACGGGAATCATCCTTTGTAATCGGAATAAATACCCTATATATCTCTTAATGAGAATAAAGCGTATTAATATATAAGTTTTAATAGTAATTAGAATATATATATATTTAAAGGGACTTAAGTACGTAAACGTATCATGCATGAGGTATAGCCGTGTTTATGTGGGCGGGCATGGCGGAGGGAACATTATACACGAGGCATATACGGCGGCAGAGGCGTCGGCTGTAGGAATATATAAATGAATATTAACATATACGTATA